TCAATCTTGGTGAATAGCAGCAGAATATTTACCTCGATATCAATGAATAATTGTTGAATATATCTAGCTTTTTTAAGATTCTCGCATGTCTTTTTTGATCTGTGTAAAATGTTAATTTTCTAGTTGATGGTGGTTGGTCATCCTGGGGAGACTGGAGCAGGTGTAATGTGACGTGTGGCGGTGGATCTCAAACTCGACAGCGGTCATGTACCAATCCTCGTCCACAAGGGAGTGGCAGTTATTGCTTAGGGATGCCTTCTGAGTCCCAGTCATGCAACACAAACAGTTGTCCAAGTAAGAAAGCCTTTGTGCCTCAATCATAAATCAGTTGATCTTGTAGTGTCTTAGGGATCAATGACGGAAGATCACTTGACTCATGGTGCATCAAAGGAACCCTTGAATCTACTCTGAACTACATTGTAGGGTTCACTGGCATGGATTCCTTTAATGCACAATATTCGAGTGATCTTGGAACATTTATCATGGTCTGGATCATCCCAAAGAAATGCATCCTAACTCAGTCTTCAAGTTCTGCAGCCTTCTCTTTATAATACAACAGATCAGTTGGTCAGTCAGTGCCCCACATCTAGATTTGGTGGCTGTGGTTGCTAAGAACTCAGATACATGTGCTGGTCAGCAGAAGGAACATTCATATGTACAGTTGTCTATTAAGTAAGAGTACAGTAATTATTGGGCTCAGTCTTACGTGATCATGAAATTGTAAAGTTGATTTTTCATAATTTTTTTCTTACTTATCTCTGCTGGGATAATTGTTGAGTGAGAGTGAAGTACCATATTTTCTCATTGAAATGCTGGGTCCCTTGACAAGGTGGGGGCTCTTAAAACCCCACGTTGCAGGTTCAGGTCAAAATTTCACTTAACCCATTGACTCCTGCATGNTAATTCCCTGGCGTTTTTGTGAAATATTTCAGAGCGGGCGAAAGCACAAAAATAAACCATATGTGCAGTAACCACAGACACAAGATTAGGTTTCAAAACATCGTTTATTTAAAGTTGAATAAATGGAGGGCCAAAATATTAAAAAATATCAACAAAAAGAACTCAACTTGATCTGTAAAACTGATAAGAAAACAAG